AAGAGGGTTGTCATTAATGGAGCAGGGTCAAGTTGGAAGCCTGTAACCAGCGGTGTCCCCCAGGGGTCAATACTTGGCCCAGTCCTGTTCAACATATTCATCAATGACCTGGATGAGGGGACAGAGTGTATTCTCAGCAAGTTCACTGATGATACCAAACTGGGAGGACTGGCTGACACCCCAGAGGGCTGTGCTGCCATCCAGCGTGACCTGGACAGGCTGGAGAGCTGGGCAGAGAAGAACATAATGAGGTTCAACAAGGGCAAATGTAAGGTCCTTCACCTGGGGAGGAAGGCACCAATATAGGTTAGGGGTGGATCTTCTGGGAAGTACTACTGAGGAAAAGGATCTGGGAGTCCTGGTGGATGGCAGGATCTCCATGAGCCAGCCATGTGCCCTTGTCGCCAAGAGGGCCAATGGAATCCTGGGCTGCATAAGGAGAAGTGTGGCCAGCAGGTCAAGGGAGGTCATTCTCCCCCTCTACTCTGCACTGGTGAGGCCACAACTGCAATATTGTGTCCAGTGCTGGGCTCCCCAGTTCAAGAGAGACAGGAAACTACTGGACAGAGTCCAACGTAGGGCAACCAAGATGATTAAGGGATTAGAGCACCTCCCTTATGAGAAAAGGCTCAAAGAGCTGGGGCTCTTTAGCCTCGAGAAGAGAAGACTGAGGGGAGACCTCATCTATGTTTACAAGTTCCTAAAGGGTGGGTTGAGGGATGATGGAGCCAGGCTCCTTTCAGTGGTTTCCAGTGGTAGGATGAGGGCAATGAGCATAAGCTGGAACATAGGAAGTTCCACTCAAAAATGAGGAAGAACTTCTTTAGGGTGAGGGTGACAGAGCCCTGGAACAGGCTGCCCAGGGAGGCTGTGGAGTCCCCTTCTCTGGAGATTTTCAAGACCCACCTGGATGCAGTCCTGAGTGATGTGCTCTGGGCAATCCTGCTTAGCAGGGGAGTTGGACTAGATGATCTCTAGAGGTCCTTTCCAACTCTGTCAAATCCGTGAATCTGTGACTTAATGCTCCAAAGATATACTGTCTAGTCATTGCAGAAATATTTTTTTCAAATGTTGAAGATGTTTATGTGATGATACATTCTGCATTTTATCATTCTTACTTGTTATAAGACGACGTTATTTTCCATGTCCAAAGCTGAGACATGATCTGGAATTTTTTGGATTTTGGATTCTACATAAATTTGTCTTGTTTAGCTTTAAATGTTATAAGAAACAGGTTAAATCTTTCTGCATTGAAGATTTGAATCTAGAATTAGTTAACAGAAGCGGGTTTTTTGTCGTCCTGGTGTTCGTATTTTCTGAGTCTTTAAGCTGTTATAGACAGGATTTCCTTATAACCAGCACTTATGGTTAGTCAAGTCTTTTGTGCCAGGTTTTCCAAGAGCAGTGATAGGCAATATAATTCCCTGGTCTTTTACTTCTTTTACCTACTATGGAAGCATTTTGGTAAATGGAGTGAGAGCTTGCAGTTGGTTCTTAACTGCTGAGGTTATTGCTTCCAGCCTGAGCTTCTGTGTCAGGGGCAATTAAAACTGAAGTACCACCTTGTTTGTGTTGGGTTCCACTGCAGGGCAGAACCTTAAAATGAAGCAAGTTATTCTAAAAATGTGATTGTGGAGTGGAAAGTGTCCTTTCTATCTTCAGAGAAGCGGAAAGCGGCAGCAAGAAGCTCACAGATATTTGCATCAGACAAAAGCCCACTGCCAGCAGGTGGAGGGAGGCCATCCTTCTACACAGTACTGGTGAGACACATCTGTAGTGCTGGGTCCAGTTCTGCTCTCCCCAGTACGAGAGAGATATGAGCATGATAGATCGAGCCCAGTGAAGGGCTGCGAACGCGGTTAAAGGCTTTGCAGGTCTGGCACAGGAAGAAAAGCTGAGAGAGATAGGATCACTCAGCCTGGAGAAGAGGAGGCTCCATAGGGGTTCTTATGTATAAACACTTGAAGGGGCAGAGGAAGATGAAGCAGATAAAGCAAAGCTCAGTGGTGCCCAGTGACAGGGCAAGAGGCAATAGACACAAAACTAGTAACAGGAAATTCCACTTAAACGTAAGAAAATGGTTTAAGGGTTTTTTTGTTTGGGTTTTTTTTTATGGTGGGGGTGGTCATACAGGTTGCAAACATACAGGTGGGCAAACAGGTTGCCCAGAGAGGCTGTAGAGTCTCTGTCCTTCGAAATATTCAAAACCAAAATGGACAATGTCCTGAGCTACCTCTAGTAGATATTTGAAGCAGGGGAGTTGCATTAGGTGGTCTCCAGAGCTCTCTTCCAACTGCAGCCATTCTGTAATTGTTTAAAATTCAGTATCAGTAGGTTGGTGTCTATCTATGTGCATAGCTAGGCCAAGCCAGGAAAAAACTTTGTTTCCTACTATTAACTCACTTATTTGCCTGGAGAGCTGGGAGGTAGGACCTTCTTTGAGCTAGAATTTGATGTTTAGTGTTTCCAGTGATAAAGATGTCTACCTGAGTTATTCTAAGTGTAAACAGTAGAAAAGTTAGAAGCATCAAAGGATAAATGCTCCTTAAGAATTAGTTATTCTTGTAAGATAAGGAATCCCCTTTCCCCCTCAGTCCCAATATTAAGACCCAGTCTGCAATAATCCCTTTCTCTATAGTTGTTTAGAATTTTTACTTCTTTGATTATATAATTGGGAAAAATTATTAGTATTTAGTTCAGGAATTCAATGTTTTAAGCTTTTTAAAGTATTGCCTATTTCTAAACTAATCTGAAAATCTGCATAAGCAGTTTTTATTATTTCTTATGAAGTAGGTTTATATGCCAGTGGATTAATAAAATTACTTGCATGTTCAGAGCTTGTGTTTGTTCGGTTTTTAACAAATTATATTCTAGGGATATTTTACGTTTTCAGAAGATTTATAGGGCTGCATTTAATGGCAGTTTCTTTTGTCTGCTCTGGAGCACGTGTCATGGTGGATTTAAGTGTGCTGTGTATGTTTGACAAGTTAGAAATTTAGCAATCCCCATCAGTGCTGAGCCACACTGTCTCAAGCTTTGTTTTTGTTGGCAGGTATCCAGTACCATGCTATAAAATACATTTACTTGACAGTAGAAAGTGGAGAACCACATTAACTACAAAGTTTAAAAAGGCTGGCTAAACACGTGCAATAAATATTAATAAAAGAAAAGGCCACCCACCTTTGACCTTCAATACTTGTTATTAGCTTTGTGTGTTTTAGAGTTACTGTAGCATTTTGAGCTCTGCATAACAGTATGTGGCAATCTCTTATTTAAATCAAACGACTTATTAGCAACCCAGCATTGGTTATTTTGGTCACTTGTGGCAGGGATCATGGACATAATGCATTATTAGAATTCTACTTTGTACCTCAGAGTTACCTGTAAAAAGATTGTTGTCCTTTAGTTGTGTTGTAATCAGCAAGACAGGTTTATTTGTACCTTTAAGTAGCTGGGAAGGTATAATGTCCTATGTATATCTATTAAGAACGAGGAACCTTGTAAAGTATGGTCATATCACTCAATTTTTCTTCTTCAACAAGAACACAAAGCAGAAAAACAGCTCGGAAGAGAGTCATCCATCATCTTGTAGTAAAACGAAGTTCTGATTCATGGTAGCTGAATGGGCTTCAGATTTTTTTCAATATGTTTTATGTTATGTGCCTCACAACATTCAAAAAAATGGGATCTGGACCAAGCCAGAAATAGTATGGAACATGAAATGGGAGGTGATTCAGGAGTCATTAGAGCTGATACATAACCATTTTCTTCCAGAATAAATGGTTCTCATCTTCCAAGTTATAGGACTATATTACATCCCTAATTTTAGCTTTGGTGTATTTCTCTTGTAAGATGTTCGTGGTTGCCATTTTGTGGGGATTTCATGTGCTGTATTATGTGAAAATAAACATATAAATAACATACACTTTAATGATAGGTGGATGATAGTAGTTGAATATTGTTAATTCACTTTGGGAAGAGTCTATTACTGTTTTTTAAGAGAAGAGAGGTAGTAAGCTTGGGAGGAAAAAGGGGCTAGAAAAATGAGCATTGTTCAGTGAAGTACTAATAGGATGCTGCATCCTACTAGCTCTGGATACATTTATTACATGGGTAACACAAATACTGTTAAGACCTGTCTTCAGTCTTGGGCAGTATTCCTTTAAAGAGTTGCTGTTTCTCAAAAATAGGTACTTTTTTTCCCTCCAGTTAGTCAGACGCATGTACAGGTTTTGTGTTTGCGTTGGGATGTGTTGTCCTTTGTGGGAGGTTATGCCCACATCTTTGGTTCTCTGGAATCTTACAGAGTTTCTGTGCTGGCCTGCTGAATCAGACTGGATAAAGTAATCACATGGAGATTCAGAGTCACGTGGAGAACCACGCTGTCTGTATAAAAGAACAATACTCTTAATGTCTGAAAATTAGTTTCTTTGCTGACCAGAAGGGTGACGGAGCTGTGAGGCATTGGCTTCAAATACTAAGTTCTTCTGGGTGTTGTGGGGAAGAAAGAACCAAGAGTCAAAATCTGCTAGTCTTCCTTTTCTACAGTCAGCAAGTAAAAGGTCAGCACTGTGTAAGAAGAAGGGAAAAATGGATAAAGAACGGGGTGAAAGACTTCAGAATTAAAAATAAAGTTGCAAAATTCTTGATGATCTGTGTTGCTGTATCTGAAGCACTTCATTGTTCTCCTTCAAATTCCCCTCTAACTTTCCATTCCCACTATGCCCATGAAGACCCTGGAGCAATTAGCTTGTGGAAACCACCGGCTATCACACTGCCACCAATTTTTATTTCCTTCTCTGCTTACATCCATGTGTTGTCAGTCCTTTTTCAGTGTCTTCTGCTCTGGAGAGGAACTTTTGTTCATTCGCATATTCATTCATGTGCTTAAGCTTGTTCCTGCTACACTGTGACTTAGATCTGCTATTTGACAATATGAATATTAATTCTAAGATCTAGACGAATGACCAACTAGCTATCAATGTGTTGCTTTATTTCAGAGCGTTGTGCGTTGCCTTTGGCATCCCAAGCTGAACCAGATCATGGTTGGTACAGGAAATGGTTTGGCCAAAGTGTACTACGATCCTGTCAAAAGCCAGAGGTACGTAATCATGATTAAATGATTAAGAACATTATTTTTTTCCTGAAATTTAGTCTGATTCTGTGGTTCTGTGACTATACTAAGAAAGGAGAAAAACTGGTTTAGTAAAATTTGTTTCACAGAGCGTCACTTACTTAGTAATAGTAAAAAGGAAATTAAATAATCCAAACAAGTTTGTTTCTGAAACACTGTTCGTTTTCCCTTGGAGTTTTTACGGTGCAGTATGCTGGTTGTTCTATCTGAATTTACAAACACCTTCATTTTTTAATTGTATGAGATCTGCAGTAAGAATAACCAACCTTTCATCTGATCTCTTGGAGGTTACTGATGTGGTGTTACTGAAAGCATATTTATTGTATGTAGTCATATTTTTGATGTCCTTCTTTTCTTCCTGAAGTAAAAATCTTGTTTAGCAGCATTAGCTTAAACCTCAGTGTCTGTGAAGTAATATTGGAAGACCCAGTTTGAATGGGAGCAAACCAAGGAAGCATGATCCCATCTTTCTGCTAGTCTTCTGGAGTCCTCTGCTCCACCCCTGCCTGTCACATGTGGATTTTGCCTGTATGTGTAATGGAAAGGTTGTAGTGATTCATCAGAAGGTGACTTGTCAGCCTGGAATGAAAAGAAGAGGACTTAACTAGCCTATAAATACTTCTTTTGCAATTAATTTGCTTTCACCATCTGGATTGGTTGGAGAACTGGGGCATGCTTCCTTCCTGTCAGCAGGGGTGAAAAGTACAGTTCATCTATACTGAGTGGTATGATTAAGGTGTTATTCCCCTGTATGCGCTCATCTTTGTTTCACTGGCATCCAAAAACTTACTGTGTTACAGTTCATAGTTCCTGGTTACTTACTGTGACCTGGACACTGGGAGGCAAAGATAAGCGGTAGTTTACAAGGTTATCAGAAATAAGTTTTATTTTTCTGGTTTGTGTCAATTTAGAGAAGAAGATAGCAGGTCGTCAGTGTTTGGACCCTCTCCTGAGGGCAGCCTGAGTCTCCTAGGCACAGATCCCAAGAGCCCTCGCTCAGTTTTGTGCCCAGCTTGTTTCTGGGTACTTATCTTGAAGAGGAAAATACCACCAGTTCAAATCAGCCCTGCTGCAGCCAGGCTAATGCAGTCTGTCCTGCTGCAGTGTGACAGGCACCTCTGCTTAGATAGCTGCCACCTCTGCTGCTTGGGAAGAGCACTAGGGGCAAATCGTTGCCCGCGTTCAGAGAGAAGCACTTCCCATCTGCACACTACAAGTCCTGTGGACAAATGAAGTGTGAAATGAATCTTCCACCCTTATTTTCGCGTGTAATATAAACCACTCTGTAACCGAAATGCTGATCTCTCTACCCTTCTTCACGTGTGCATGGGCAGGCAAAGATATACATGTTCATGAATATTTAACATGCTATATAATTTTATTGAGACTGTCTTGAATAAAAAATTATTTGTGTTTGGTGTGAACAGACCAGCTGATCTGCTGTATGTTTCCTCCTAGGGGAGCAAAGTTATGCGTGGTCAAAACAAAACGAAAAGAGAGACAAGCAGAAACTCTTACACAGGATTACATTATAACACGTAAGAACTTTAGATGTATTTTTATAGCAGCATCCTTAGCTCTTTCTCAGATTTGAAATTATTTGCAGATCATTTAGCTCTATATTATCTCTCCAAAATGTTGCAGTCTTTCATTAAGTATTGATCATTACTGGGAGATGTTAGTGCTTCATTCAGATTTTTTGTAGCGTTGCACAACCAGGAAGGCATATATCCCATATGCTCTGGGAAGTTGTTAATAATGCTTGGTTTCTAGATTGTGATACACCTGAAAACACAACTGCCACTAAAAAAATCCCTAACAACAAAACCAACAAAACCTCAGAAATTTTGGAGCTTTTTCTATCTTCGGTTTTGCATAACTAAATTGGTGAGTGTAGATTCATTTAGGGAGTGTTTTGACTCTTGCGAACATCAACAGTACCAATGGCAAAATCAGAGACATTAGAGATGGGTCTTAAACAAATTCCAAGTGACTTTTCAAAATGTACAACATGCCCAGAGTTATATGGGGTTTAAATAGCTTAAATATCTCTGTAGCCTCGGGGTTATACTTGTGTAAGATCTTATGTTCATATTTAGGCTCACTGATGCTTAAGAAATAGTTATCGTTGTCACTAGTGATGTATAGTGTTCTGTGATCTGTCTTTGTATAGTGATCTGCCTTTTCCCAAGGGCAAATTTTACAAGGGGACAAGGGCATCGACTGAGATTTTGGCCCTCCCCAATAGCATTGTCCTAAATAGTGTTTTCTTACGTGAAATGAGAACAGTCACACAGTTGTGCTGTCCTGCCTGCTTCTTTTCAACCTATTGCAGCTCCATGGTGTTTGGATTCACCCTGTTTTCCTATATTCTCGGTCTTGGAAGTAGCTAAAGCCATTTCTGTAGAACAAAGTAGTTGTTTGGCAGCATAATAAACAAAAAGAAAATTTAAAATGAGAAAGTTTGTGCAGTACTGGTAACCAGGCTAGAAACCATATCAAGGCACTATGGTTCTGGATTCCCATCTCAGGTACTTTCCAGGCACAGCTGTCTCTTACTTACCTTGCTGCTGCAGATATCCAGCTCCAGTTTTTGGGTAGCAGTGAGTAAAGTAGCAGCAGGCAAAGATCAGAAATATGAATCTCATTTGGGTGTTTTTTTGAATCCATCCTTACTACAACCTTGGATATATCTATGTGTGCACTGTTGTTAGTGTTTATACTATAAAAAGCTTTTGTGATTTTTTTTTTTTAAATTTCTGCTTAAAATCCAATGGAACTTGTGTATTCAATGGTATTTATAAATGCCATTCAAAGATTTAGGTCCCAATTATGTAAAGTTTTGAATTTTATCACTGAGTTTTAGCTGTGCAATTGTTTCTTCCACATCATTTTGAAGCCGAAAAAACTGTATAAAGCAATGTAGTAAAGTGTTGTAAGGATTTGCTTTGCAACTTTTTAAGTTTGTTGCATATTTTGGAAACACTTCAGAATTTAAATGTCTGCCTTTTAAGCTTACAAATAGAACTGGAAAGAACTGAAGATCTTGGAAGTCCTTTTGTAAAGGACTTCTCTTTTTTTTTTTTTTCCTCCTTTTTTTTTTCTTTGGACTTCTATCGACTCTTTAATCTCAGACTTGCCTGTAATGCCTATTTAAAATGCAGGAATGTTTTTTTGAGGGATTAGGTGTGACTTTTAAAACACAGGAACATGCATTTTGGGTTTCCCTTAGGCAACCTTGACTGCACAAATGGCAAAAGCTTGGATCTGTGCATTAGTCACCTCAGATGCTCTGTGCAAAGTGATCAAGCTGAGTGCTTGCCAGCAAATTGTCCCTGCCATTTCATACCTTATGCAGTCTGCAAAAACAAAACCTAAACATTTATTTCCAAAGATCTGCTGTTGTGTCACCTGGCTGTGACTTCACTCAGTCTAATAAATGGAGCAGCCTTCCAAAAATAAGTTGAAAAATCAGACTGGTAGGTTCCTGGATGCCGCCTTCTATATTTTTTATTCAGTACAGAGTTGGTGCCCCTAAATTTAAGATTCTGTTGGGGGTTTTTTTTGTCTTGGTTAGGTCTTTTGACCCCAACACAATTTCCCATGTTTTGGGAAGCAGCAGCAATTGGCACACCGGAATATGAGAACTAAACCTCACCACAAGAAAACTGTGTCCCTTGACATGGTGTTTGTTGCTGATAAATGTGTCTCTGGTCTGAGTGGACCAAAACCATTGCTGTGATTGAAGATACTGCAACAGGCTTATGAGGAAATGGAGGTTTTAAATCCTGATAATTTAGGCAGATAGTCTCCGTCTCTTTGAACCGTGATTAATATCATAATTTAAGAAAGAACATGTTTGTGACTGCATGCGCAGAAACATTACGTTTTGGATCATCAAGGGGATTCCACCTCTCTCTGTTTCAGATCCAAGAATGCATTTAGGGTTTTGTCATGCTCTTAGAGTATAACAAAGCTGTGGAAGCATGGAAAGCTCAGGAAAGAGCAACCAGTTGGTCACAATGCTGCTGTTGAGAATCGAATGACAGGGGAATAAATTAAATATGCATAAAGTGTGCAAACAGTATTTCAGATGAAAGGCTCCTGCCTGAAGGAACCCTAAAAATCTGACTGCTTTCATCTTTGAAAAATTCAGCAGAAAGGTCCACGCTCTAAAATACAACTCAGTATACCACTGCTTGCATATGGAAGAACTGGGAGGCAGCTTCTGCCACCTTTTCCATTGAAAGCAAGAATCCCAGTCTATGTCCTTGTAATTAAAAGCTTAAAAAGAAAATGGAATTTCTAACGTTTATTTTTCTCCAAATGGTGACCCTTCAGCCCATGCACTTCCGATGTTCCGTGAACCACGACAGCGAAGCACCAGGAAACAGCTGGAGAAGGACAGGCTGGACCCCATGAAGTCTCACAAACCCGAACCTCCAGTAGCAGGACCAGGTAATCCATGCAGAATCATTTCAGACTGTCGCATTCCCAAGGGGCCATCGTGCTTCGTTTCTGCCATTGTTTGGACTTGCATTGAGACTTTTTTTGGAGGCAACTCTACTATATATTTATGTGCAGTGTAAGACATTGGTTTTTAATTGGAATGCTTGCCCGGAATGTATTAATAATCACAATGATTTACTTTAAGTTATATAATCAGTAAATCACTTGAATGCAGCTCTAAATTAGACTCTTCCTATAGTATTAAATAACTTCATTGTATCAGATCACTGTTACAGACACAATACGACATTTCTCTGTTTTTTTCTTAAATATTTTTCTCTAAAATACTCTTTCTTTTTCTTTTTTTTTTTTTTTTTTTTGCTACAGGTCGTGGTGGGCGTGTTGGAACTCATGGAGGTACCTTGTCATCGTATATTGTCAAGAATATTGCACTGGATAAGACAGATGATAGCAACCCTCGAGAGGCTATTTTACGTCATGCAAAGGAAGCGGAGGAGAATCCATACTGGGTTGCCCCGGCATATGCTAAGTAAGGAAACAATTAAAAATACAAGTAATATTTCTGGATGCCAGTGGAAATTTGGTAAAAATAGAAGATACACATTTTTAATGGTATATTTTGCCTTTTCTGGATTGCTGTGACAAGTATGTAAACTAAGAATATGCCATTGTCCTGTATGAAGATAAGATTTTCCAGGAGATTAAATTGCTGAAATTTGACATTTCCATTTTTTTAAATGTGCCTGTCAGTGCTACAAAATTATTTTAATGTTTTCCAAGTTGATTCGAATTTAGAATCTTCTGCAAATCAACATCTGAAATTCCAATATATCTTTTAATATGTTTCTGTCCCATTGACAGACTAGGATGATAAGTTTTCCAATATACCCTCTAGTTGTGACTGATTCTTAGGTTAAGCCTTCAAAATATTTACTTGGTGTTATGACAGCATATTTTAGGTGATTTCTCAAATGTCGTAAGTTTTCATTTGATTTTTTCCTACACAAGGACCTGAGTACTTGCTTCAATTAACTTGGTGTTAAAGGTATAGCAGTATTAAAAATTGCACCTATAAAATCTCCTGCAAAAATTCAACATAAATAAACAAGTGTTCGGTTGTTTTTACATAAATTAAGGAATCTGATCAAGATTATGGTAGTAATCTCATTATCTCAGTAATGCCACAGATGGTAATTTACTCAGTTTAAATTGTATGTCTCAGTGTGGTATTTCAGTGTATGTTTGACAATGAGAATAGTGCAATATGCTTCTAGAATGCTTCCTACCAAAGATTGGGGTTTTTTTCTAAAAATAAATGCGCTGCCGACCATTGAATAAATACATTCACAATAGTACTATAATGAATACTGGATAAATACATTTCATAATAATGAACAGTAACTACAACTTTAAAAATTACTAAAATTTTCATATTTGGTTATTATATTTGCTGCTTTTGTTACACAAAATAATCTCTCTAGTATAATTAGTAATTTCAAATTACATAAGGAAAAGATTTTGAAGAGGTGAAACAGTCTGCATGGAACAGTTTGTCAATAACAAGCTATTTTTTCTTGTTTTCAGCCCAGTATTTTATCTCCTAGGCTATGTGTTTATTAGTACTTTACTGACTGTGCTTTCTTTATTAGCATTTAGCTCTTAAGTGAGACAATCACCATCTCTTTCCAGAAATTCAAAATAAATTAAGAATCATAGCTGTTTCTAGTAGTGACACTTGTTTTCTAACTTGACGCACATGTTCACGGAGAGAGCTGAGTAGCTCCAAAGCAGCTTGAGAACATCAGTGACCCAGCCTGGCTTTGACTGGGTAATTAATAAGCATGGCATACTGGTAATTAATAAGTATGGCATTTGATATGGTACATCAAATCAATGCATTATACAGTATCACCCTGGGTACCAAAGAAGGAGTGTTGGAAAGCCTGATTCTGTAACAATTGTTGTAATTAATATGTTAATTATTGATGTCTAATTGTTTGACAGTTCGTGTTTGCTAGAGATAAAATTTACTTGGAAAGTGTAGGCAGCTGGTTTTATTTGAGATATGCAACTGTCTATTCTCAGAAGTAAATACAGTCACACATTCCATCAGGTAGGTAGATACCTCAGTGTATTTTTGGCTCAGCAACTCCATTGATTGCATATTCAGTTTCATCCCTGACACTTGCAACGTAGTAGACATGAAAGTTTTAAACCATAGCTGTATTACAGGCGGCTTACTGTGTCAGGTGGGCAGATCTCATTACAGTTCCTTGTTAAAGATGTAGCTGCAGGGGAAGAGGAGAGCTGGCTGAGAAGTGGGGAGGATGCAAGTCCAGACTGCTATTAACTTACACACCAGACGGCAATATGTATGTGGAGAAACTGGACGGCAGCCAGCAGCGGGCTGCCTTGATGGGTTTGTCAGCTGATAAATCTCATGCCAGTGAAACTGCCGTTGTCCCTGCTTTAAGTGTTGTCTTTCAGATGTGTTCTATGCAAAGAGCAGTTTAAAAATTAGTAGTAGTATTATTATTCCTTCTACTACTGCAGCTATTGGATAAGACGCTGAAATGCAAAAAGTTTATGTTCTTAATTTTCAGAAACAGAGGTCTGTATTAACCATTCCAGACCAATGATAGTCATAGGTTTCATTAGCTGCTTCTTGCCTGCACATGCAGATAAGAGAGACAGCTGTGCTAATTATATCCTATATCTGACTTTACAGGGCATGTATGTTTACCCTGTACATAAAGGATCTTACAGATGTTCTCTGTATGGTGCATATTTAATAAACTATGCAAATGATAAGTAATTGATAAAAGTTATCATGTAGTGCTGGATTGTAATTGTGTCCCAATGACTGTGTTAAAAATCAGGAGTTTAATAATGACAACCAGCATACAAATGTAGGGAAAATGGCTGCGTTAGCATAAGATATAGAGTTAGGAAAGGTGATATTCTGATACATACTTCAAATGGCATACAGTGTTGAGAGTGAAAAAGCATACATCCAGTACATTTCATTTTTTTAAGTAGTGTTTATTCTTTTTACTGCTTTATTTCTCTTCTATCAGTTTTTTCATATTTCTTATGGTAAATTTTCACTTCAATATGGTATAAAACTATCCAATTGATACAGCTCTTGTTTCACGAGGCTTTTGTTTTTATGTTGTCTAACGGATGGTCATTCACTTACAGAAAATGTCGAAGGAAGCTATAGTTACTTAATTTTCTTCAGTGATGGTTATTAAATAATTTTAGACTGAGAAGACTAAGGAACACTCAGGCTGATCAGAGTTTCGTAACTGATTGTGATGACTGGTTTAGAGTTCATCTGGTCCTGATTCATACCGATTAGGTAATTTGAAATCAGATAACTGATTTCATGCCTTTTAAATTGCATTTTCACTTCAATAATTCTTACAAGAAATACCTGCAACATGACTTTTGCTGTTAGTTTATACCTTGTACATAAGAATTTTTCCTTTTTGTTGAAGTTAAGGTGCCTAATTTAGTCTTGAAACCAAATAGTCATTTGCATTATTTATCACTTGAATTTTTTTTTCAAGCTTGTTATCATTAGCCTGACCTTTCTGTTTCTCCTAAAATTTGAGCCAGAAAAGGAGCGGGAAGTACGTAAGAGGCAAAAGGATGGGTGAAAAAAACAAATGCTGCTGAAAAGGATACTGGGGATGATAAGAAGTACATGCTGAATCAGGGTATGACATGTCACAGGAGCCCAGTGTGAATAAAGTGTCAAGAAAGATGTGATCAACATAGCAGAAGAGTCATAATGGATGACAATAAAGAAAAGATCTTGAGGTTTTTTTAGGAAAAAGTTTGTTAGAGACCTTGGCAAGAGCCATTCCAGTAGAGTGAAAGGAAAGGAAGGACAGATTGAAGATTTCAAGTAAAGAACCACAGGAAAGGAACTTGAGGCATTAGTTGTAAATGTTTGAAAATTACATTCTTTGCGAGCTGTTTGTTTTAACACAGCTGTACAGAGATACTATAATGACTTCAGATGTCCCTCTGAAGGATCAGCAGGAATTACTAAGCATTGTAGCTGAGGGCTTAATCAGGCCCAGATGTAACCCTCTTCTGTACCGTAGGGAAGGTGAGGGTGAAGTTTCCTGCCCCACTAAGATAGACCAGAGTTCTCAGAAAACACCTTCCGGTTCAGTGATGTTGCCCCTATTTTGCTGTCTTTGTCATTGCTGCTTGTCACAGGCAAAAAAGGAATGGCTCGGAGCCAGGGCCTGTAGCTGTGCTGTGTTCACGGAGCGTTTTCCTCAATGGCAGGACCAGTGTGTGAAGTGTTAGCCTTGGAGTTGCCCAGGTATCTTCAGCTGAAGAAGCAGGACTGAACAGAACCTTTTGTAGCAGCGATTTTGTTGGCACCCATTGGTATATTTAACATAAATCTTTTTTAGAAATCAGTCACTTTGAGAGGGAAGCCCTTAAGATTTGGTGAAGAGTCAGGCTGGTCGGTGGGGAAAGGAATTCAAAAGGGCCTGATGCGGAAAATCTTCACTTTTCAGTCTGGAAGTAGCCTTTATTACATTATTCTGGTTTCCAAGCATGCCTGAAAGTCTTTTTTTTTTTTTTTTTTTTCTTTCAGTGCAGTATAAACACAAATTTCAAAAGTTACTGCAACATGAGTCACATGCTGTGATATGCAATTGTCATCTCCAGCTGGTTTAGCTGTAGCAGTATTTTTGTAAGTTTCTGGTCTATGAACCCCAGATGTCAATGAGTTACTTTTATGGGATCCCTGAAAGGTAACTAAGACAAACAATTGATAACCAGAGGGAATTATGGTGACTCTAAAGCAGTCTGGAAATTGGCCTGTGGAAATTTTTTAGGGGTCTGCATATCTGAATATGTTGAAAACCACTGAAATAGAGAAGCACAGAGTATGAATAAATCGTTAGTTTGTTTTCCTGTTTTGCTTTGCAGCCTGTTAGCGTAACCCACAACAGGAATGCATTCATCAGTGTATAAGATATTGGTTTCAGCTGACAGCCGTGTGGAAACACAGCATCATAGAATAATTTAGGTAGCAAGAGACCTCTGGAGGTCATCTAGTTTAATCTCCTCCTTAAAATCTGTTCACTTAAATCAGGTTGCTCAGGTCCAATTAGATTCAGGTTGTTCAGGGAGTTGCCCAGCCAAGTCTGAATATCCTCAAGGATGGAGATTCCAAAACACCTCTCTGGGCAGCCTGCTCCAGCAGTCTGGTTGGCATAGTACGCTCTTGACAAATACATGCTAGCTCTTCCCTATCACCTTCTTGTCCTTCATGTGCCTGGAAATGCCTGTCATGGGGATTTGTTCCATAGCCTTCCAGGTGAATGAGTTTAGGTAGACCATCCTGTAGTTCCCCAAATCCTCCTTTTACCCTTCATAAAGATGCTGATGATTTCCTTTTCTAGTAACTGAGAACCTCCGCCAGTCACCGTGACCTTTCAAGGATGATAGACTGCCCTTGCAGTGACATTGGCCAGCTCTCTCAGTACCTTGGGATCTAGCCCATCTGATCTCATGTCCAATGAGCTACATACTCCTTGTCTCTGTCTTCCTCTTCTGTTGGTAATGTCTCACTCTCTCCCAAAGACTCTGCTAGCAGCATAGGGGTCTTCGGAGACCTGAGGATAGACTTTCTAAGGGAAAAAGGAGCCAAAAAAAGCATTGAGTATCTTGACCTTTTCTATATCCTACATTAGTGGATTACCTGCCCCATTGAGCACATTTTCCTTAGCATTCCTTTGGCTGTCAGCGTAGCTGTAGAAGCCCTTAGTTTTGCCTTTCACATTTCTTTCCAGTTTCAACTCCAGCTGAACTTTGGCTTTCCTAACTCCGTTCTTGCATGTTCACGTAATGCCTCTGTTCCTCTTGGCTAAGGCTGTCCCTGCCTCGTCTCTCTGTGTTCTTCCTTTTTGGGGTTAGGGGTTTATCTCAGGAGATCCCTGCACATCCATACTAGGCTTCTGCCAGACTTCCCTTTCTGCACACAGGATGGAATGTGGTGGTGTTGTCTCAGATTGACCAGCTCTCCTGGGCTCCTTTGCCCTCCATGGCAATCTCCCACAGGGTCTGCCAGGCAGCTGCCTAAAAAACCAGAATCAGCCCCCAAAGCCAAGGATAAATAAAATTGAGAAAGCTGATGGTGAAGAGAACATAGATTTCCACATGTATTATTTAGCCCATCAGAAATAAAAATATTTTGAAGTAGTAAACCCGTTTTGATATTTTTTGTATAAATATTAATCATTGCAGCAAATTCCTGCTACACTAGCAATCTCTAGTGCAGTTACTAAGCAGAACAATTTGTGTTTAAATTAAATGATCACTGCTGATAATGCTATAACAAAAACAGTGTTTTCTATGCTTATGTCTTTAAAATGGTCAGGCATGTGAATCACCGTAGGTGCCCCAGTTACTGCTGTGTAGCTTGTGGAGGTGGAACAGTTTACATTTCAGCTGCGCTGAGGCTACAGCCATTTCATGCTAATTTTAAAAAATGAGATAGCGAGCAGACTTGATTTCCTCTATGTTTTTGCTTTAGCTGGTTACTGCTGGATTATGCTACATTTTCTCCCCCCTCAACCTTTACTGGATTCAGTAGCATACTTATATTAGTCTATAACTTTTCTCTGAGCAACTCCTATACTGGAAAATTCATAGATTCTGCTGCTTGTTTCACAAATTAAGTCATTCTTCTTGCTTGGAAGTTTATAACCAAAATTGTGACAATTGGAGATTTTGTGGTCAGAAGTTGTAAGTTTACACTGGATTAGTTGCACTTTAATAACAAGCATCTCAATACTGACCTGATGTGATCCTATGGGATGTTTAGATACCTTTCATCTATTGTGATCAAAGGAAGGTATACTGTTAAAGTGGACTAAATAAACTTCCAGCAATATGTTTTGAAAAAAAAGAAGATTCCACACATTCCATCTCTTCAGCAGCTAACAAAATCTAGTATTTTGGACAATAAAGCCTTCATTCCTGGTGTCTGTTTTGGAATGAATGTTGATTTTTTTTTTTTTTTTTAATCCTTCAGTTGTTGCTTAAGCAGAGTTTATGTAACTATTTTCTAATGACATTTTTAAATTGGAATTTTTTTAAAAAAATCTTAGTTCTGCAGAAATCCTCCTCTAACTTCCAGTAGTGTAAGCCTTCATCTGGGTGCAAGGTCTGCTCAAGTGTAATGAGACATACACCCTGCACCCAGAGTCCATGTGCTGGTAGAGTCCTGCAGCGGGACAATCTCTGGAACATCTTCGTATGCTTCTTACCTCCGTGGGAAGCTTGGAGGATGGGGGAGAAGGCAGGCCAATAGAAAGATCCTGTTTATAAGGAAAGTTGTCTTTGACTAGTTTTGGTGACTGCAAACCTATTTTGTGCCATGTATTTAACAAGTGGAGAATCCTGCCCTTTAATAGCTGATGGTTTGTTATTACTCTTCGAAGTCAGTGGCAACATTGAATTATGCTCCTTGTGTTAAGTAAGGAAGGCAGATGCAATTTTGTTAACATTTCTGCATTTTGCAGAGTCTGCCAAATAACGGTTGTTATAATAATCGTGTTTTGCATCCTTAGGCTGCTGTAAAAACATTAGTTAATACATTAATGAGATGATGACTGCCTTGGCTGTGTTTTATACTTTGTCGTGTCTGTTGTAAGGAGAAGTCGAGCACAGCCAGCATCAAAAATCTAGTCGTTTGAGCTCCGCAGTGATTGTGCTGAGAATTAAGTTGGAAAAGGGGACTATGCAGTGATTAAAGTGTAAAACAGGGGAACTGAATGTCCAAACAGTTTATTGAAATGCTACTTGATACTGTGTTCGTTTAAAAAGTAATCAATAATTATTTTTATAAAGTTTAAGTGTTATTTAAAATACAAGTAAACAGTGGAGGAATAGATACGATCAAGCTTGACTGTAGGATACACTGTGTTCTCATATGAAGATCATTAGTTTTTTTATGTTACGGTAGTGCTGGATAAAGTCTCTGGAGGAGAAGCTGTTTTTTTCATGCATAGGCTAAGCCAGAGACCTGGCTTAGCGGCTCTGTTTTCACTTACTGGCTGCTGTCATACTACAGTGCATCAAAATGGAGGTTTCTTTTCTAAAAATCATGGATTGAGAAGACCCGTGGCTTCGTTTTTCTAGCTTGTTTTAAGCTGATTTGTTCCTCTCTTCTATCTGAATTTTATTCATGGAATATACAGATAATGACTGTGAGCTGATGGATAAATAATACTTGCAAAAGCTGTGTGTTCTTTGCCTGAGAGCTGCAAGTTTCTTCAGTTCTTAGAAGGTTATTTGATAGGTTTATGTTGAAAACTAAAAATGTGCAAGCCTAAGGTGCTCTTTTTTTAAGTACAGAAGGGATATCATTTGTGTCTAGTGCATGTCTAATACAGTTTCTGATAACGAATTATAGTCTGACTATTATTTTAATCTTTTTAATGTTTTCTAGAACTCAGCCAAAAACAGTTTTTGCAGAAGTGGAACCAGAAGATGATGAAACAGACAAGCCAGAGTGGAAAAAACGTAAAATCTGAAAAATGTGATTTGAAGAAGAATTTTAGAGCATTTGAATCAAAGTACAACATTTATTTCTTCAGTTTGGATAGTGCATCAAAATTTGAAAGCAAAAATTACTTCAGTTCATAAACTTGCTGCAGTGTAAAAAGGGGATTGTTGTCTTATATTGGATTGTAATCCACATCTGAATTTTGCAGTGCAAAGAACTCCTCTCTAGGTCAGTTATTTAGTTTTGTGATTTAAATGAAAAAAATTCTTTATAAATAGAACTCTAGTGAATTCATTATATTGCCAAAGTTTTTTAATTACTGCCAACTTTACAAATGCTGTGCTGTGACAGTGTTCAATGATTCTAAGTACATAAATAAAATAATACATTTTCTCAGACTCCTTTTTGTTTTTTCTAGTTAAGATCTAACAAATTACCTCCTTCGTTACAACTATAACAAAGTTTACACTTTAATTAATGTAGAATAATACAGTTTAGTTCATTTGTGTGTTCACACAAGTTCCAATTTAGTTCAAACTTCTGTGTGAATTGTAGAAAACATATTTCCTAGTGCCTATCTTGAATGTTGTTCCTTTTAAGTAAGTGTGGTACCTTCATATGTATACTAAACAGTATACTACTAAAATACCTGTAGTATTTTATACAGCCTTTATTTTTCAACGATGTGAAACTGGAATCGGCAATTATATATTTTGGTTTAATAAAAGTAACATGCTTATTGCCAAGTTGATGTAGAATTCTGTTCAGGCTTCCTATCCCTATTAGTTAGTATTGATAAGTGTTAGGATAGAGCAGAACTGTGTATTTATTACTAGGTCTTTTTACCTATTGACTTTGTTCTGTGCCTGAATTACATATATTCTGCCTCACACTATCTGAAGACTGATACTATCCTTCATAAAGTGGTTTCTTAAATACTGAAAGTTTTCATTGTTTAACACCAAATTGCAATTCCGAATGTCGTAAAGTGAAGGCCAGATTTAAAACCACTATCCTTTAAGGGAGAAGGAAGGAACCTAGGTTAGTTTTAGGCATTTATATTGTGATTACAATAGTACACACTATGCTAAGTATTGTGATTGTAATAATATACAATATAGCAAGCACTCTGCATTTCCAGTAAGAGTAGAAATTAATAGACATTGTATACAATCAAGCTTTCTTAATTATGCATAGATTCTGAAGGCATATTTTAACGCTATATTTAGCAAAGCACTTAATCACCTTCCTAACATCAAGTGTGTGTTCTTGATAGTCAGCAGAGCTTAGATTTTTTTTTTTTTTGTCAAGCATTGTTCTGCATCACTATTTCATTGCATGATTTCCTTTTCCAAGCTTATCTTTCTTTTTCAGTTATCATTTTTATACTTTAAGGAAAAGTATGCCTGACTTCAAAAGTTGTAATGAGCATTGGCATTACATTCCTGCAACAAAATATGTCTGCTGCTTTCACTCAGTGTAGTCTTTTGATGAGTAGAACCTTACTAAATAATTAACAACTTGTCTTTGTCCTTTGTAAAAATATTTTAGTACCTGCTTATGTAGAATAGCAAATCAATGCTTAATTTAAAATTGCAGCTTTAATTTGTAGAATGAAGGACTTAATACCTAGGTAGACAGTAAATGGAGGAGAAAAAGGAATACCAGATGAAGAGCAATGATTGTTAAGAAGACCTGCTAAAGACCTCCCTATGCAATGTCCCCCTCAGCAAGTAAACATTAAACGGCATTGTTTCATTTAAGGCTATTTTTTGTCTTTTTTTTTAATCGTAATAATGCACTAGAAAATGAAGTATTTTCAAATAAATTTCTGTAAAATCTTGAATAAGATTTTAAAAGGATAAATGTGTCCTTGATTTTAGGCTAAATGTTATTAGTTCATCATTTCTATTGTTAGTTGTTCACTGAGGCCGGGTGGCTTAGGGAGCAGAGCTGCAGGGAAAGGCAGATGAGGAAAAATGCTGCAGCTGTTCTCTAAGCATGAGGGGAGCTTCTCCTTTTATGTTATTTGTTCATATCAGCTAGATCTTGTTTCCTAATTCTTAGAAGAAAGAGTTTTGTAAGTGAACCCTGCAAAAGTTCTGTTAGAATTTCTCTAAGCATTCATTGTTGTTACTTAGTTATTATCTTGAATGACTGCTTTAGCAGCCTAGAATTTAAAACAGTGCCTGTACAGATATGTATTTAAAAGAATTAAAACTAAAATTGTACTTTTACTTTAACTCTTGGCTTGGTTTGTTTGTCATATCCTTACTCTGGATTGTCAGGCATGTTCATCAACAAGGCAAATCTTAATGCATTTTTAAAAATAGCTTTTAATCGTGAATGGCTCAATGGTAAGAGTTAATCCAATTCAGGAAGGAGATACAAAAGGTCTGCTTGACCATACTTGGGACAGCAAACTCTGACTCAGTCCTTCGAATTGTCTGGGGAAAAATCTTAACATTAAAAATATTTATATGATTAAATATTTGTTATGAAAGGTGGAACTCTGCATGCAAATTGGAATATATTTGTGTTATATTTTTATGAACCTGATTTTGCTTTAAACTTCAAAAACTACCTAGGTTTTAGTAATTGCCAAGTTGTAATCTTTGTCCTCCATGTGTCCATTTTTAGTGTTAATGTGGCCGGAGTCCACATGGGCTTTTGTTTCCATTTTTCTGAAACAAGGTAGGCTTTCACTGTTTGCTTGCTTCCTCAGAAGACTTGCTTACAGAGGTGCCACAACCATCACTAGCACTTTGGCATGCCAAATGGCTTCCATGGTGCTTTCTGCAAACCTGGATTTTTCTCTATATGTTCTGTGCAGCTTCTAGATGTTTTTTTTTAATAGCAATTTATGATCTTTTGTCCTTTATGCTAATGACTAGTTAAGACCAGCTGTTAAATAACATGCCTGTCCATAGGACCAAGGCTTTTTCTCCCAGATCATTAGAACCCACCAGGTAGTGGTCAGCCCGGTTGCCCATTCATTATTTGTGTTGCCACTATTGGTATAGAGGTCTTAATTTGACTCTGTAGTCCTTTGTCTCGTCCTATCCTCCTTATTCCTCTGTTCTATCTTAATTTTTATGTCTTCGGCAACAGGTGAGAAGATTGCTAAGGCTGTCTTTAAGTCCTAGCACTTTTCTTCTATCTCTTTGCAACTACTTTATGATTGTTTAGGTTCCTCTGTCGTATACTTCCTATGACCTCCAATTTAACTGAAGATGGTACTTCTGCCTCTGTTGTTTGTGATTGATAGCAAGAACTGTGATTTGTGCCCAGAGGCCTCCAGCCATTGGCTCCTTGCTTATAATTACATGCCTAGTTTGATGTTCTTTGTCACGCCTGCCTTTTCTTTGTTGGGCTATAGAAAATATGTGTTGTGGGAAGAGAAACCACGAATCTTTATCCTGTTCAATCTGCTGGACCCTGAGGAGTGTTTTGCAATGAGTGGCATTGCTGCACCAAAGTGCCATCCTCTTGGTTAGATCTTTGTCCATTAGTTTCTTGGACCTCTAATGCCTTTGGGGGTGTCCAGCTTGAGACATTTGTAGCTCACATTCTCTTTAAATACTGCATCATCTGAATTTTGATGTGGCCTGTTAGTCACAATGGTATTGCAAAACCCCTCTTCTATTTCCTTGTCTTGTTAAATGTCTGTATTTCCTCCTAGCCTCCCTCTCAGCAATGGGAACTTACTGAAAGACCTACAGTTGTCCTCATTAAAAATCAGCAGGTTTGTTCTGACCTTCTACCATGGATAGGCTTGTATTTTGTGAGTTTCTGTCCACTGTTATTGATCCCTGAGCTTTTCTCATCTGTTGAACTTTTTTGTGCCTACACGCAAATGAAGAGCTAGATAGTTGGCTAGCAGAGATATCCTTATGCTTGCCTGGTGTTGAAGCATAGATGCATCTTATTACATCAGTTTTTAAATCTGCTAGGACTTTTGGCTAATCCCATTTAAAAAAATTTTGTATAAAATGTGCACTTCATCCGACCTCTGGGACTCCGGCATCTAATTGCTTCATGCAGTCTGGATAGCTCTGAAACACGAGATACTTCTCTGTCTGTAGCATATCATCCTGGTTAAAATTTGCTTTCGTTGTCAAAGCTTCCCATCCTACATGAATAGGTATTGGAGCATGCTGAACAGTCTCCCACTTTGGCAGCACTGTCTTATACTCAGATCAGCTTGTTGGAATCTCCATAACCTATGTGTTGCTTGAGTGCCTTGGCAATAGTTAATGATTTTTTTTTTTAAATGGCTGATGATCAGACAGTATGTTCCTCTTGTACTGTGAGAGATGACTCAAAAGAAGGCTGATACAGAAAACATAGCCAATACATCTCATTTTTTTTTAAGTCTTTTTTTTTTTTCACTTTGGCTATCATGCAGAGCTGTTCTATGTCAGGGCTAGTACTTAAAATTTTTCTTACTCTTTCAAAGAAGTATTCCTGCAGGCTCTGGCCTTTTACCTTGTTGTTTCATAAAATAGTAGATGCAACAGATGAATACCTGCAGTAGATAGACTGGGCTAGATGGGTCCTTGAGAAGTTATGCAGTCCATCCTTGACTTAAGCTACGGCTGTACCTGAACCAGTTCTGGCATGTTTATTGGATCAGGTCTTTAAATGCTCCCATGGTAGACACTGCACAATCTCCCTGAACAATCTGTTCCAGTGCTTCATTCTTCTCAGCAGTAGAAAATTTTTCATAATCTCTAAGAAAAACAGTCTTGCAACAATTTAAGCCCACTATTTCCTGTCCTGTTCGCTGCAACCGTGGAATCAGTTTACGACGTTTCCCTTTGCAGTAGCTTTTTATTATGTTTGAATTTTATTATCTTCCCCTGTCCCCTCTGGTTTTTTCAGTTTTCCTTTATGGTTTATGTTTTCTGGAATATCATAATTTATTTGTTTTTCTCTGCCTTGTTCTCATTGTCCATATTTGAAGCTGAAGCTACTTTTTCAGCACTACCGAGAAAGCAGGAAAAACATTTGCATGTTTCATTATAATCACTTTTTTCTCTGCAGTTTGGTATTACAGATTTGTGTTTCAAGTTCTCATCCCCCTTGACTCCAGAACCTCCACTACAAAGCTGCTGCCAGGCCAATTCACTATCTAGTAGTTACATATTATTCTTAAGCGTTAGATTTTGTCCTTTGTACTGATTTTCATTGCATTTTCTCAATTTTCTCACTATTTTGTTCAGATTATTTTGAATTTTCTCTTGGCTCCAAAGTGCCTGCAACTTTTTACAGCTTCCAGTTGTCAGTGGATATAATGAATATATTCTTTGTTCCCTCTACTAAGCCACTATTGAATTTGGCCTTTAGAGGGAAATCCGTATGTATGGAAGGGAAATGTTGCATACAGTGTTAATTTTCTTAAGCGTTCATAAGCTTCTAGTTAATGTACTCAGAAATTTTTGGAAAGACACTTGGCTTTCCTAGAAGTTGCTGGATTCCCTTCATGTCCTTTGGTTTCAGGATTTTTTTAATGGCTCTGTCTCTTTATGTCCGGCAGGAATCCTTCTGACATTAGTCGTGTTAGATGTGGGAGACCTCAGGAACTCCTTGTGTTCAGCATTTCAGTGCTCCGCATTCTGAACATATTTCCAGCATGTCCCAGTTAGGTGTTTTGATCCTGAATTCGTGGTTACTTTAATTCTCTGTCTATAATAAAAAATGTCGTGCGCTACAATCTCCTATGGTCTGTGAATGAGCAATATGACTAGCCACACACCTATAGGTGTGCATCCTATAGGTCTGCCCTACGCTGGGATTGCTCCACTACGTTCACACCTGCCATGAGCTGTGGCACCGCAGTGACATCTGTGGTTGCCTTGCTTGTGGTAACTGTGTTGCCCACACTTTGGCTTCCTGAAACTCCAGTCATGATGGAAGCAGCAATGTTTCCTGTTCACCATCTGCTCTTCCAGTGGCCTCAGGAACATTTTACTGAAAATCATTGTCTTTAGGCATTTTTCTAGCCCATTACTAATGTTTGTTAAGATCACTGGGACTGCATTGCAGTTGATTTAAGAAAACGGGAGCACACTTGGCACTTAGCTTGCGGGTGTTAGGTGGCACTTAGTGTGCAGGTTTCCGAAGTGCTCAAATGCTGAGGAACTTGGAGCTTGTTAAAGATCTTCTCTGGAAGTCTCTCTCTTCAGGCACTGTCTGTACTTCTGTGCCTTGCATGCCACTGACCACCCAGTACCTCTTGTTTCTCTCCTCCTCAGGGCCACCGTTGTTCCTAGGCTGGAAATGGTCTTTTGCTGTTTCTCCTTGAGTTCTGCAGAATGTGCACCTGACTGTGGCACCTGAATTTCTGGTCCATGCCTGTCCTATGCTACTTAACTTGATTCTGTGGATCTTTCGTGCAGCCTAGATCCATTTTGATACGGACTTGCCGTGGCTAGTAACAGGCCAATGTTTTGTGTTAAGGTAAGCCGCCTCGGGAGTTACCTGGGTTTGGACCTGTCTTGGGCTGCCTGGAGCTTTGTCTGAGCTTCTTCAGCTGCTGTCTACCAAGCAGGTGACCGCTGCTTCGTTTGTTGAAGGTTTTGCTTAGTTTTGTACAATGATCATAAAATCATATAATTGTCTAGGTGGAAGGGGCCTTTAAGATCATCTAGTCCAACCATCAATTGAACTCTGATTAAAAAAAAACAAACCACCACCACTCACAGCCCCTCACTAACCCATGTCACTAAGCACTGTGTCAACCCGTCGTTTGAATATCTCC